GCAAACTGGGTTTGCTGGCAGACAGGGTGAGGTAGGAAAGGGTTTGGTCTTGTTCTGAGATGTGTTTTGGGCCAGGTTCACAAAGGAGCAAGAGGAATAAGGGATGCAGGGAGCTGTAGTAGACTCTGGATGGGGAGGCACATGGAGCCAGCTGGCTGTGCCACAGCGGGGTTGCCCTGCGAGGCAGCCTGAGCTGCTGGCAGCTCTCCCTTGGCCTTCACAAGCTCACCCTTTCATGGATGCTCTCTGTGTGTCTTGGCAAGGTACGACCCGTGTGCTGCCCTGTGCTCTGTGCAGGACCAAGCCCCAGGGTGTGTGGCCGAAGATAGCATGGCCTCATGGTTAGAGCACACCACTCCTCCCAGGCTGACTGCCCCACTCGGAGCCTTTCTCCCACATTCTTGCCCTGTTTGGTCCTGTGCCCATTGCTTCTCTGCCCATGGAAGCAGGCAAGGTGGGGTGGCAGGCACCTGCGGTGGGCTCCTGCAGCATGGTTGTGGTGTGTTTCCCTCTGCAGGCACCAGCAGAACCCTCGGGCTGCACTTCTCAGTGACAGCACACCCCATGTCAGAGCTGCTGCAAATCCTGCCTACTAATAGCTATGCAAATTACCTCATTAGCTGCCTTATTTATTTTCTCTGGCATCACATTTTTAGCACCTCCCCAAGTCCTGGAGGCTGTGGGTCCCCAGGGCTGGGAGGAGGCAAGAGCAGCAGCGGGACCGCATGCAGGGCTGTCTGTGTTGAGCCTTCCTCTGCGGATGACAGCTGTGTTTGGCTCCCACAGAGCCACCCGCCCAACATGATGTGTCTGGGACCAGGGACTCACATGATTCCTGCAGTCCCTGCTGTTGGGATATCTTGCTCCTCATCCCTTGGTTCGCCTTGGCTCTGGGATGAGTCTTGCTGAGCCTTCCCTCCAGCTGGGAGCTGTCGCATCCCCCCCAAGCAGCTGTGGATCTGGCATTGCTGAGATGTGTGTGCCCTCCATCCCCCAAAAAAGGTGACTGATGGATTTAGATATAGAGAGAACAGAGCATCTGCCCAGTCCCAGTGGACCCAAGTGGTGGCTTGAGTCTTGGCACAGGGTGCCCTTGTGTCCTTCTACCCTGACTGCCTTTCCTCGTTAATGGGAATGTGCCTCCTTCCCACCCTGATTGCTCTTCCTCCTTGAGAGAGAAACTGGCAGATGCTGTCACAGGGGTCTGCCCTCTGCCAGCCCCAGGATGTCTCTGAAGAGTCCCCAGATGCCCTGGTCAGGGTGGCCCTGGGCTGGAGCTCTGCTCTGGTCCTGTCCCTGCAGTGTGTGGCCCCGGGCTGAAACACTTTGAAGCCATCCAGAGCTGGCACAGGCAGGAGTGGCCCCCAGGCACCAGCCCAGCATGCTGCCTCTTGGGGATGTCCGTGTTTGTTTCTGCTTTATTTTTCCCCTTCTCTTCGGGCTGTGCTAATGAGTATTTCATGACCAGGAACCAGCGTGAATTCCCCACATCCACTCCCCATCCCCAGTGCTCCCACAGCAGGTACCAGCCCAGATGTCGGTGGCTTAGGAAGGATGTGTCTGCCAAGAAGCCATCTCAGGAGAGGACCTGGGCAGGGAAGGAAACAATGGCTCTAGTGTTGACAGCTGTGTGGTGTCCCCCTCCCCAGCAGTGCTGTCACTGTCCCTTCAGCCTGCGAGGGACTGCCAGTGGGCCGTGGCGGCCGTGTGTCCGTGCACGGGTGGCCTTGACGGTTCCCGTGCATCTTTGCTCACACGTGCAAAGCCTTGCCCAGGTGGTCACACTTGCCTGCGTGCTCCGACACAACTGCACGTGTCCCCTCCTGTCCCCCGTGTGCCACCAGCCGCCACCGCCGTCTGAATGAACCGTGTCCCTGGTTCACCTCCCCGTGGCCCTGCCGCTGCGCTGTACGGGGGCTCCTCTCAGCGTCAGGCAGCAGCAACGGCACCGTGGCACCGTGCAGACTGTGGGTCAGACCGTGGGTCAGACCGTGGCACCACACGGGCCATGACACCACAGAGGTGTTGCATGGGCTGTACTGACCACCCTGGAGTCCTGTGCATCCCAGCTGGAGGTGTCCCGGCAGAGCCCGCGGGCAGGCAGCAGGGATTGGGGCCAGGGAAGAGGGGGACAACGTTGCTCTTCAGTGTCCCTGATTTTGCCATTTATACCCTACAGTGGGGTGCTAGGCCGGTTGCCAGTGCAGGCGTGGCACTGGGAGGTGTGGGGCATCTGCTCCCCCTGCCAGAGCCAGAAAAGGTGGCGAGAGCAGAGCTGGAAACAGAGCCCAGAGCCGTGGTCTTCCTCCTTCCCATTGCTGTGGCTCTAGCAATGCCATGTCCCCCTTCGGGACCCAGAAGATGCTCTGGGGACACAGTCTGGCTCAGAATATCCCTTTGAGAGATGACATCCTTTGCCCTGCGAGGCACTGTGGGCACTGGAGTTCCCCTGGTCTGGGGCAGGGGCTGGGGGACCACTGTCCTCCTTGGGGAAGGAGCAGGTTTGGGAGAACCATAGGCTGGGTGGTGGGGTGGGAGGCTGGTGGGGTGCATCCTGCAGTGGCACCCGTGCTGGCTGTGATCCAAGTGCTATCTTCAGCAAGAAAGGTGTGTAAGGGTGGGTTCAACAGCCCTGCTTTGTGGCTTGCTTTTCATTTCTGTTGGACTCCTTCTTGTCTTGCCAGGGAGGAGGTGGATCAGTGACCGAGTGGCTTTGCTGCCCTTCTGCAAGGGCAAAACACGTGGTCCCTGGGCCAGCCTGGGGAGTGTGTGCTCAGAGTGAGCCCTGAGATGGCAGCAAGCTGGCTCATGTCTCTGTGCGATGCACTGTCCTTGTGAAATACCCTCTGTGGGTTGCTGTGTGCAGGGGGGAAGGACAGTCCCCTTGGCTCATCCTATTTTTTCCACATGAGCTTCTGTCTCGGTGTCAGTGCATGAGGGCCTTTTCTGGAGAGCCAAGGGCCAGTCCAGAGGGGTGATGCTGCTTTGGAAATCACTCTCCAGTTCTGGACTGAGCTCCCCTGTCCCGCATGGCCATCACGACCAAGGTGCACAGGATGGCACTTGCATCTCCCGCCCGTCCGGGACACACTGGGATGGAGCAGCTTTACCGGCCAGGTAGTCTCTTGGCTCCCAAAGAACTGGATGGTCGATTTGGGATGGATCTGAAAACTTTGGTCGCTGTCACGTCCTATGGGCTCTGGCACCCTCCTGTGGCTGTTCTGCCACCTCTCCTGCATCCCACGGGCTTTTGGGGTGCTGCGGCCGCCTTGGGCTGAGTTGTGCTGGCTGGTCCCCACAGTGATGCTGTGGAGCTAGCCCTCTCTCCCAGCGTGGGGGGAGCTCTGCATTTGCAAGATTTGGCCGCGTATCACACAGCTCATGGGATCTGATCATTGCAAGAAACTGTCCCAGTGTGTTTGTGTTGTGAGTTTGAGCTGGGAGTGGGGCTCCTGGGTACTGTAGATAAGGACTAGGGTCCTAAACCCCTACCTGTCTGTGGCAGGTGGCAGGAGGGCACTGGACACTGCTGGTGGCCCAAATTTCTGAGCTTTTGGCTGTCACCAGTTGTCCACAGGAGGTAGGTTCAGTCAGGGTATTGCATTCACAGACTGTCCCAACATCTGTGCCTCTGTCTGCTGAGCTGCCCACTCTGCCTCGACTGGCCTGGGCTGTCCCCTTTCCCCTGTGGGGTCGATGTCCCTTGCAGCCCTTCCCTGACCTGGGGCTTTGTGGGTCTATTATTGTAGGGTTGCAGGCTCTCGCTGTGCTGTGTTGTGCCTTGCTGTAGGGTCTCCCCAAACCCGGTTCAGCCCTGCAGCGACCAGTGCAGCATCCCCTATTGCCTGCCCCCCCACCTCTGGGCACTGTCCACCATGGTGTGAGGGCTCTCTGTTGGGAGATGCCCCCCTTTCAGGGGAATAGCCAGCATAACAGACAGGGAGGGCTTGGTTTGGAGGGGATGACCCTTCTTCTGGGGAGCAGGACGTGAGGTTACCCCATACCAACCTCGAGGGCTTCTGCCCTGTTCCTTGGAGCTTCTTGTTGAGTCATTGGTAGGGACTGAACAGACTGATTGTTCTTGGCTGAATAACACCTGCACCCCCTTTTCCATCCCCAAAGGAGCAGAAGCTATAGTTTCCATCAGGTCCCTTTTTGTTTGCTTCCTCCCCCATTAATAAGAGATGAAGCTTATGAGATAATAGAGCTGGGATGGATGCAGAACCGAGAGATCCTGATCATATGGGGTGTGGATGCAATGTGGAGAGGGAACCACAGCTGAGCAAATGGGACTTGGGGAAGGATGTCATTTTGCATGTGCACAGAGCATCTCAGGCTGGCTTGGGAAGCAGGGAAATCCCACCACTGCCACGTGCCAGACTCTGTTCTGGCTCTGACATACTGTGCAAGCTACAACTCGCTGCCAGGCTGAGCTTTGGAGCGAGCAGCTCTCAGCCAGAGTGGTCTGAGAGTCTGACTCCTCTTCCTCCCATCCTTGCACCGATCCTTGTCTCCTCCCCTGTGTGGAGCCAGCGGGAGAGGATGCCCAGGGATGCAGGACACGCCGTGCCTGAGAGCTGATGCCTGGGGATGCAGGATGCTCGCAGTGCCGGAGGGCTGGTGCTCGGGAATGCAGGATGCTCGAAGTGCCGGAGCGCTGTTGCCACAGGGATGCAGGACACTCGCAGCACTGGCTGGCCGGAGCGGATGATTGATGCCCGGGGATGCAGGATGCTCACAGTGCTTGACAGTGAGAGCGGAGGGCTGATGCCCAAGGATGCAGGATGCTCTCGGTGCCGGCTCTCATCCGGAAGAAGCATCCTTCCCTGCTCTTGGAGAGAGGCGGCCCTGGGATGCAGCAGTGCCTCATTGGTCAGCGGGACCTGTGGAGTCTGCGGGTTGCCATACCAACCTGCCTCTGGTTCCCGGCCAGCCGGGGCGTGAAGTGCCGGGTCGAGCTGGTGGCAAGGGGCGGACCAGGAGCCAGGGGCAACCCGGGACTCTGCCAGCCAGGGAGGCATCCATCTGCCTCTCCCGGAGAGCTAGCTGGCACCGCTGGGCTCTCCAACCCCGAGCATCCCCCTGCTGCTACTCCCCACCTCTCCCTGCAACTTTGCTGTGCGGAGGGGGCCAGCGGGCTGGCACGGCACGGGGGCGTTCACCCGGGCATCCTGCTCCCTCTCCGAGCTTGTGGTCAGCTTTTGTGAGCCTAAGCCCTGGGAGGGGCATCACCGCCGGCCCCCCGGCCCCTCTGGATTGCAGCCAGCCTGCACAGGAGCATCCCAGCACAAAACTTCCCGGCTGGTTGCCTGCTGCCTGCGAGCAGGGCCTGGCAGCTGCCGCGCTGCCAGTGCCCCCGCTGCCGGGCTGGACCTGCTGCCGATGCCCGCAGGCTCGCTCCGGGCAAGGAAGGCTCAGTCTTCCCCCGGGCACAGCCTGCTGCTCGGAGGAGCTGGGGGGCTGTTTGCTGGCCGGGAGGGGGTGAGACTTGGTCCCTCCCCAGCGCTGTGAGCTGGAGCCATGAGCCACTGCCAGCAGCGCTGCAAGAGGCAGCTGGGCCGGGTGATCCGCTTCTTCTACCAGTTTGTCACCGGGACCCTCTCCCAAGGTAGGTGCTGTCTTGGGCAGCACGGGGGTCTGCTCTGTGGGAGACGTTCTCTGTCTGATGGGCTCTGTGGGGTTCTTTGGGGAGGGGGGGGAATTCTGTTCAGGTGCTGAGTGATTCAGCCTCAGGAAGAGAGTTGCACTGGGCTCTGTGTGGGGCAAAGATGAAGGTGCTTACAGGAGGCAATGAGAGTCCCTGAAGGTCCCCCGTGGACCTGGGGTGAATGGAATGTTTTATTTGGGGAGGGGACTGGTGCAGAGTAGAGCATGAAAAATCTGCTATGGAAATAAATTGCAGCTGGTCCGACCCTCCCCTGCTGTGCCAGGCATCCACCTCCTCTGGAGCCAGGGCTTTGCCCTCCATCCATCTGGCCGGAGAAGCTGTGCCTGTGAGCTGGGGCATGGACACACCCTGATGCCTGCATATCCTGGGATGTTGCTGGTCCTGGGGACAGGGCTGTGTAGTGTGCTCCCAGTTTTCTGTCACAGCCGTGGCAGGACCCACGTCCCCCTGCCAGCCTTTGCACAGCCCAGCCAGCTGGCCAGGATCCCCTCTCCTGGGTGTGAGCCGAGAGCCACCTCCCAACCCCACTGGGCACAGCTTGAGGAGGTTGTCATGTGCCTGTTTTCTCTGGGACCCTGGATGCTCAGCTCCTTTCCCTGTCCCCTTGCCCCTGTGCTGGTGGCAGGTTGTTCTCCCCATGGTCTGTCCCTGCTGGGGACCCCTGGGCTGCCCCTCTGGGCCACAACAGTATTGGGGAGGGACCCGCTGTACCAGGAGCACGGGGAAGGCCTTGTTGGGCCAATGTGGCAGTGCACCGCCTTCGCTGGGACCCAGCCTGCCTGGAAAAACCCTCCTTCCTCACCTGAGGGAGCTGGGTCTCCCCCGCCTGTGCCTGTTCCTGGGGCTGGGGGATAGTGGGGGCACCCTGGGGATGCTCTTGGCGAAGCACTGGGGACTGGGACACGGGAGCAGTATCCGCCCTATGAGCCATGCCCAGACTGCCGTGCCACCTCCCTGCCCATGGGGATCTGTGTCTTGCAATGGAAGGTTGCCTGGCCCCAGGAAACACTCCCCGTGGGCATTTCCCATCACTTTGCAGCCCTGTGGGCCCTCCAGGGCTCCATGCCAGCCTACAACATGGCTAAGCGGCATGCCGGGCTCAGGAGGCTGGGTGTGCCCGCAGGCAGCTCCGGGTCCATTCCCGCTAGTTGGCTCCATTGGGCACCAGCCAACTAGTCCAGAGCGGAGGGGGCAGAGGATGAGTCAGCTGAGTCCAGCCCTGGGTGCGAGGGACAGAGCTGCAGGTGATGGATTGGGAAGGGGACCTTGGGGTGCTCCTGTCCCCACCACTTGCAAGGATGTCCTATAGGTCCTTGTCCCAGTGTCCTGGGCTTTCCAGCTGGGGACTATGGGACTGTATCTGTAGTGGGTGTCCCACGGGGACTGGGTCTCAGGGCTGGCTGTGTGCAGTGCCGAGTGGCCCCGAGGGTTTGGTCCCATCCTGTCCCCACAGCCCTGCTGGGGTGTGCAGATTGGCTGTGCTGTGTGGAACTGGGATGGGTGTGGAGGACGGGGCTGACAGTGGTGCTCGCTACTGCTGTTCACTCTCTTCTCGGTGTCCTCCCAAGCTGTGGGAGAAGCTGAAGTGGGGTGAAACCCAGAGCCGGGAAGGTCTGTGACCCCCCTAAGGCTCAGAGCTTGGGACTGGGAGCAGGATGTGGGGCTTGCACAGCCTTCTCCCCTCTGCAGCATCCCCTCCTCCCCAGCCACTGTTCTGGTCCATGTAGCACATGGGTCACCTGGATGCTGTCCCCCACCTTGCCCCCAAAAGGGGCAACAAGCCCCTCTGCCCTCCCTGCAGAAGCAAAGGAGGTCCCGCAGAGCCCACTTCAGGGGTGCCTGGCCAGGCAGGCCCTGGGGTGGGGTGCCCTCCCGGCTGGGTGCCCTGGGGAGCTAGCCAAGGACGGGTTGCTGATGGGGGGAAAGAGAAATGACTCAATCAATTAACCAGATTAAAACTGTGACTTCACCTCCCAAAAATAGCGCTTTGCCAATATTTTAATGTGCTTATTAATAATCTGCTCGTGCTCTGATTAGCAGCGAGGTAATAAGGGATCAGCTGTAACCTAAATTTAACTCTCCCTAATGGATGATGGCCCCGAGAACCAAAAAAAAAAGAGAGGCTTCTATCCATCAGGCTGGCCCACCTGGAGGGTCAGCAGCACCTGAGGGACCTGGGCAGCTGCTGTCCATCTGTGTCCAGGTACCATCACCTCTGCTGTGGCCCAGCTGGTCCCATGGCACATTTTGGGGGAGTAGCACCCTAGCACCCAGCGGCACCAGGCTAGGAGCACCCTAGGGGCAGCCACAGGGGTTGCTCCCAGGCAGGGCAGAGCCTGGCCGTGGTCAAGGTGCATGGTCCTCTCCCAAAGAAACAGGTCCCTTGATGATGGGTGACTGTCCTGTCCCTGCCCATCTGCTTCTGTCCTGCAGCAGGGAATAGTCCCCTGTGCCCAGCTGCTGTCAGTGCTGGGAGGATGGGCATGGGGACCACCTGACTACCCATCAGCTCTGGGTGTTGCCCTGTGCATGCCCGTGGCATGCTGTGTGCATGGAGCTGCTTTCTGGGCAAGAAACCCTGGGCACTTCTATTTATACATGATGTGTGGCTGGCAGGTTGGTTAATTTTAGCTGGGTGGCATGGCTGTGTTGACAGCAGTGCCAGAGAGTCAGGGCCGGGGTGGCTGAGCAGGGGACACTTCATGGCTGTTATTGTCACAGCCAGAAGTGGGACAGGTGGTGTGGACATGGTGACAGCCTGGGCTGCCTGTCCTGGCACAGCTGTGCCTGGGGCAGTGTTACAGGGTCTGCCGTCCTCCCCAGTGCTGAGTTGTGGGTGCATGCTGAGACCACTTTGCCACCCTGTTCTGTGTCCCCTGTGGGATGCTCAGTCTTGGACATAGAAAGGAAAGTGGGGACAAATCTGGATGCCTGGGTTCTGTGCCCTGAAAGGCTCCTCATCCCAAACCTGGGTGGCTACATTCCCTGGCTGTAGCTGCGAAGAGTGAAGATGAGACATCTTGTATGCAAAGAGGTGTTGGGGTGAAACTCTTCCCCAGCCACATGTCCCATAGGGCAGTCAGTGGGGCCAAGCATGGTCCAGGGACCAGAGGTGTCTCAGGTGTGGGTGCAGCTCATGGGGTTTGGGGTCTGTGAGTGAGTGTGCCCAATCCCACAGTGGCACTGCCCAAGTGCACCTGGCATTGCAGAGCAGGAACCGGGATGGTTGGCTCTGACTCCAAGCTGAGAAAAGGAGGTGCTAATCTCAGGCATCCCTGGGGAGGTGCTGCATTGGGGTGCAGGGGACGAGATGACAGCACCTCTCTGCCAGACCCAGCTCTCTGGGTTGCAGAGCCACCCTCCTTCAAGGCCCGGTGTCTAGAGCAAGGACGGGCACAGGCATCTCAGTGGAGATCCTGGTGTTCTCTGATCCTGGGCTGCAGCATTGTTCCCTGGGGAACCCATTTCCAGGACTCCCAGCTCCTCCTGTGGAGCGGCAGCAAGGGGCTGAGTCCTGAGGATCCTGGGGTTATCAGGGAACTCAGAACAGCCGCTGGGCTGTGGCAATGCCTTGCTGGCCCCGTGGCACGGAGGCAGCCACATGTGTAGTGAGCCCCATCTGTTCACTGCACCCTGCTTCTTCCTTCTCCTGGCTGATAGTGGCACTCTCCCCCCGGGCCAGGAGGGTTATTTTTAACTGTTTGCCATGTGCTGCCTGAGCACAATTAAGGTAATTGGTTCGGGAGCCTGGCTCTCACACAACGCTCCCAATTACCTGCTTGCTTGCCCACACAGCCCCCCGCCTCCCTGCCCGCGGTGGCCGGCTCCTCTGGCAGGGGACTGCCGGGACAGGGCTGCCCCAGATAGTGCGGCGGGGCTGGGTGGGGGGCGCGAGCAGGCACAGGGGATGGAGCCATGGAGAGGACATCCCTGCACAATGACAGCCTGCTCTATGCCTCCCTGATTGCCATCCTCCTCCTCATCTCCTATTGGTTCACTACCCGCTGCTTCAAAATCATCAGCGGCATTGAAGGTACGGGGTTGGGGACATGGGGGGACAGGGTGACACTGGCCTGTCCTGTCTTCCACAAGCCAGGTGGTGAGGTGAGCTAGGCTCTTGGTGTGGGAGAGAGGGATTGGGGGCCCCACTCTCTGCCTCTCTGGGGCACCTCAGTCTCCTCAGTCACTTTATTTGTTCCTGCTGGTTCTAGTCCTGCTCCACTGTGTGTGAGAACAGCCAGTAGCAGTCACGGCCGAACCACAGTGGTGTCCAGGGCTGCTCCGGGGAAATCTGGCTCCACCGTGATGCCAGCATCTAGGTACCATTGCCCCTCACTGCGGGATGAGGATGCAGACAGACTCGCCAGTGCCTCCCACTATGTGGAGGGTGCCTGGTGCTAATGTTGTGGTCTCAACTTGCATTTTGGGATTTTTGGTCCCTCTGGGCATGACCTACATCTTTGGTCCTCAGCTGGTGTGTTAGGGAGCTCTGGGATGTGGCAGGGGTCCCAGTTTCCCTGGTGAAGGGTCTCTCCAAGCCCCGCTGCAGTGGAATGCGTGTGCCAGTGGCTTTGCAGGGTGAGATCCCCAAGGCAAGGAGGAGGGCAGGAGGTGTAGCACCGGTGCTGTGTGTCTGGGGATGTGCAGGGCTTCTGCCTGGGGCGTGTGTTTCTCCATCCATCCATGTGACCTCTCACTGCACAGCTCAGCCAGAGCCTCGTGGTTCTTCCCACAGCATGGCCAAATGCTGGCTGGCTTCAGGGGTGAGGAGCCACCCCTGGGAGAGGTGCCCCTTGATGAGATGGAGGGCAAAGTCATGTCTCAGTTCTGGTGGGGTGCGTACATTTTGGCTGGCCCTTTGAGCATTCTTTGCAGGTGACTGTGGGTCTGGTTCCATGGGTGAAACTCCACCTGTGGTCCCATGTGTCTCCTTCATCCTC